GCAACTATTGTTTCTATTTACTGTAAAGTTAATAGATAGAAAAGTCTAAATAACCCAAAAACTATAATTTCCGACGGAAGCTCTATTGCAGGGGTTCTTAACCTGGGGTCCATGGATGGGCTTCAGGGGGTCCGTGAAGGTCAGATAAAAATTTAACATTTATCTTCAAGCCAAACAACAACAACTTTCTCATTGAAATGAACTTTTGAGCAGAATTAAAGTTTTGTTTTGTTTGATTTGCATAAGATGATTTTATTTCATTTTTGTTTGGCGTGGCCATTAATTTTTTGCATAAAAAAGTGTGAAACATAATTCTTTGTTAAGATTGTTTACTTTATTCATACTTTGTGTATGTCATACACTGTATGAGGCAATGAATTTTCAATAAAATAAAGTATATTCATTGCATGCAAAGTTGTGTTTATGTGCTTATGTGCATTTTTCTAGGGAGGGGGTCCATAGCTTTCACCAGATTCCCAAAGGGTCCGTGACTCAAAAAAGGTTAAGAACCACTGCTCTAGTGAGTAAAGTATTCATATTTTTTGTTTTGCTCTATCTCCCTATATAAGAATCACTATAGAGTTCCGTTCTATCAACTTCTAATTATTAACCCTGCGTTCAGTTGGGCAATACGAACCCTACAGAGCATGCGATTTACCGATGAACTGAACATTACAGTATTACAATACCATTTAGTCCGCCCGCCGTGCCAAGCAGCCCACAGGCTTATGGTGGATCGCTTCGTACCATGTTTGTTTACAAATAAAAAAGATGGCCACAAGCATCTATTTGTGTTCGTTCTATAAGTAACTTATTTTTTCATATGAATATGTCGATTGGAGTCAATTTCTGTAGAAACGTAACTAATTAACCGTGGGTGTTGGTACCCGACCGAAAGTACCACGAAGTAAAAAAAGGTGTTAATAATACGAGAGTATTTTATGGAGACAAAATTATATTGGAAATATTTTCTTGTATTTGTCTGTGAATAACAAAGACTCTTATTAAAGGGTTAGATAAACATTCGGATTAAAAACTCACTGTATGTCACTATAATCTTCAGGGTCCTAACAAGTTCTAAAAATAAATTTATTTACTGTGTGTGTTAACAGACACTGGGCCTCCTCAACTCAGCTACAGGTACTCTGAGCTAATGAAAAAGGCAACTCTAATACTTAGGCTGTACATCATGCTGTAACTGACCTAAAATTCTTTGTACTTGTGTCACAAGAAACTTTTGGAAAACACAAGTTAGGGCATTAGGACTATTATTAAAAAGGTAGAAATAACACCACATTACAGCACTTTACATTCCATAACTAATTACCATTCTACTACTGTGAATATTTATTTTATTTACATACAAATAAGAAAATACTACCCACCTAAATTCCTTTCATTACTTTCTAATATCACCATTTGCCTTGATATAACTATCTTCATATTGTACAATGATTCATGACATTTAATTACATTGTAATTAAATGATATCATAATATTCTATAGATTCATATCAAGACTAATACATCATACACAGTTTGTTGAATTATACCATAAACTACCAGCTAAACTATGAAAGATGATTCACAAGTCCAAAATCTTAAAATTATTTCCAATTTTGACATCTTTATATTTTTTGGGACGAGGCAATGACTCTGAGGTGAAAGGAGCCCAGCTGTCTGCCTTCGCCCGGGGAGAACATGTGATAGTACACGATCATCTCGGCTACCGGAACCTGCACCAAATTTCAGCTCTCAATCTTCAAACCTGTAGAAATGCTTCGGCCCCTGTGGAGCCAACCAGCCCCTCGGGGAGGAACAGGAGACAGTGCGCTACCATTTTCTTGGCCACCCGCACCTCCCTACCAAATTTGTGTGTTTAAAACTGTGGAAATGCATAAGAAACACACACACACACACACGAACGTAATAAAATCGACGTGTTAATGATAAGATCTAATCAACAAAACCTATGTAGTTTGAGCACTTATTGTTTTATTATAAATATTCCAATGATAAGGACTTTTGAATCATCCTGTACAGGTATGCTGTTTTATATAGCAACTTTTGCTGTAAAGGACAGCGAGTTTGTCGTGGGGTGGGAAATGCTTATAACATTTACTATCACTTCCATTCTATTATTAGTATAGTATCCAGTATTGCTATGTGCACAACTAACTAAGAAACCATTATAGTTTATATTTGGTACAAGTGAACTCTTAACATCCACGTCCTGACAGTACTGTATATCACCACCAAGCTAATTCGCTTAACACTACTTCAGTGTTGTAACATTTATATCATACAGTAGTCATAATATTGTGGTGACGCATGCCCAGACGGGTACACAGAAGGGTGTAGGGTGAAGCATTCCCACCCCACCCCCCCACCACCCGTGTTTGGCAAGATAGTTGACATTTTAAGATTGTATCCATTTTTTTACTCAGTAGTTATAACCTTTCCGATGTATAGAACCAAACACACGATGCGTTTGAAAACTTCTCAGCAAATGTGAAAAACAAAGTGTGCGGCCAGACATATTGCCTCACACTGCTGTACTAGCGCAATTGTGAATGAGTTACCCTCTATGTACAGAACTAAACAAAAGAATTTATTTGAAATACTCTGTAACATTCAATGCCACAAGGGACTGGTATACACACCCTTTGTAACATGTACTCACAGGGTGAGTATGGGGCGCACAATAAGCTAGCCGCTGCAAGTGGCAAAATTAATTAATTATTCTCCCTACCAACCACTTCCTCTCCCTCATCACCGACGTCACCCCCCTCACCACCCACTTCCTCTCCCCCACCACCCACGCCCACTAGCTTCATCTATTGTGATATTGTATTGATAAATATATATGTTTTAAGAGAGTGTACTAGCATCCTCTCTCGTAAACACACACAAAGCTCTTATACCTGAATATTTTACCTTAAATAAAACATAAGCAAGTTCACCATTGTATAATGCCAGTAGAGCGTGCGTCAACCTGCGGCGAGAGTAGGCAGCCAACCAACACTACAGTACACGTCCCTATTTATTGTCGACTTATTTTAATTCTAGCGAATATAAAGTATTGAATATTTTCCTAGGGGACATTTCACTTAGGTGGATTGGCCGATTCATGGATGGTGCCAGCGTTTAAAAGCAATAAGTTGGCGACTGTAGAGCGAGCCCAAGCAATAGCGGAGGATAAGTTTAGTTAAACTCTTAATTCAGTTGATGGAATTCGTGTTATAAATGGATTTGGCAAAAACAGTAAAAATACGCATGCCTTGTGTCGGCGGTAAAAGTTGAAATACTTGATATTGGGTGAAGCCACACACCACGCGCAAAATTCTGGCCATCACAGGTTGCTGGCAGGCAGTAACCACTACTAACTTAGCGACAGCAGGGTGATCCCTTCCCCTGCCTCCTTGAGTCATGGTCCCATGGTGCCTTGAATCAGACGCTGCCATTGGTCCTATGTGACCCAATGTTCATAGCTGGACAGTGACCGAGAAATGGCCCCTTACTCCCGAGGATATATTTAACACGACCTGTACTATCTGCAGCTTTCTAACCCAATATCTTCGGTCTAACAGAACGGTTAGTGGAACCTTTAACAAAAAGGTTAAAATCCCCAAATGTTCTCTAACGTCTTTGATAATGTTTCTAACACAGCAAATGTCTGTCTCTACTGAGGCCAGGAGAGGGAAGAACTGTTGCTAACTTAAGGGGCGGATCCAGTAATATCAAAAGGGGGTGGTCCAAGAAGTTGTGGGTGGGGAGCATGGTGAGCCTACCTTGGTAAGGGGTTTGGAGGAGAGGGGGGGGGCGGTAAACCCCAACCCCCTATTTTTTAAAAAAATCCGACCAAATCATGGGCATTTTGAGGTCATGCGCACTTGATATTAGGAGATATTCTGAAAGCAATAATAAATACTTTTTACTATACAAAAGTCTAAGTACAATACTGCATTAAAGAAAAAGTATTAGAATTTTCTGGTGAAAAGGGGGGGGGGGCCCTCCGGACCCCCCCCTGGATCCACCCCTTTACTTAACAATTCAATCAACAGATCTGGTTATCTATTCATAATATGCTGACAGTTTGTTTAGTAACACTGAAAATTTTCAGAAGTTTTAAGTAAAGTCAACCATTTTGTGACTGTTGTTGGAATATTTGTAAGAAATTTGAGATTTTGGAGAATTTTAAAGTAGCAAATTCTGTTTGGGTTTGAAACACTGATGGGAGGCAGCAGCTGCCAGGCCCGTCGTCTTCTTTGGTGTACACTTTGTATACTGTCGTCTAGCTCTACTTTATATTGTGTAACTTTATCACTGATGACCATGAACGTGTCAAACGTGGATTTAAAATATTACCACAGACACATATATATATATATATATATATATATATATATATATATATATATATATATATATATATATATATATATATATATACAATCAACACCTCAACCCGCCAGGATTTGAACCCACAGCCCATGACTGTGACCAGGGAACACTACCACTGGACCACCAGGATATAAAAGTGGTCCTAGACTTTGTTATATTTCACACAAAGCCTGTTCAATGAGCTTATGGCGCCGTGAACCTCTAATGGGGACTACCCGTATCACGTAGGTGGTCAGAGAAACGTTTTACCAAATCCGGCTTCGAAACACGAGGATCCATATATATTTCATTAGCCCAATAAAGCACGCGGACTTCTACATACAATCAACACCTCAACCCGCCAGGATTCGAACCCACGGCCCACGAGCCCATGACTGTGACCAGGGAACAATATATATATATATATATATATATATATATATATATATATATATATATATATATATATATATATATATATATATATATATATATATATATATATATATATATATATATATATATAGCCTATATATATATATATATATATATATATATATATATATATATATATATATATATATATATATATATATATATATATATATATATATATATATATATATATATATATATATGTGTGTGTGTGTGTGTGTGTGTGTGTGTATGTCCTACTGTGAAAGGGGAGTATTTTCACACATAACATACTTATGTTCCCTTTATAACACCTTAATCCCGAGTGAGCAGACAATGAAGGCGAGTGGCCGTGTGGGGTTAAAGATAAATATGAGCGAGAACAACACACTTGAAAAGACACACACCTGAGCCACCTGTGTTGCCACACACCTACACATTACTAACATTAACGAAGGTAAGGCAAATGTTGATCACTAATTTCTCGAGGATGACAACCATTGATGGTGTGTATAGACACCTACGAAAATAAATATTATAATCTGTTGGACATGTGACGCCTCCAGTCGATGTGCGATTTAACTACTGTGCCGGGATAATGACTTTCAACACTGATAAATACGGTGCCTGTTGTCTTACACTTGATGGGAGGCGGACCCGTACAAGCTGAAACAGGATTTCTCCAGCTGAAATTGTATTCAAAGATTAAATAACTGCTACACATGTACTTAATAGTCTGGTTCATAATGTACAGATGAGAGGCTTCTTGTTTTGTTTTCCTATACTATAATTTTTTGGAAATTTAAAATGTTGGACCAAAACACAATCAATACATTTTTCAAAGTCTTTGTGGCGGTCAACTTACACTTTCCAAAGGGTTACTACAAATGACGTAATTTCTACAATATTTCCAATACTTACCAGCAAGGCTTCTAATTTTAGTGGCTAGTTGAACATTTTTCTCAAAAATATCAAAGGAACTACTACACTGTACATGCCTGTAAAACGCTCCTCCTAATAGTTCCCTGTATACTCCAGGATTTTTTGGATGCTAGGCCAGAATTGAAAGACAAAGCTCTACCGAGACTTGGTGAGTTGCATGTCGCTACGGCTGCCAGTAGCTTTATATCAGTATAGGGCTGTCAACACATAATCAGGTTATAAAACAGACGATAATATTATATTATTGGGAAATTATGTTAACATAGGCAGGGTGATTACAACCGCATGCCATTATATGAAAATAAATGAATTAAATTTAACAATTTAGGGAGTGGACAACACAGCTGTGTGTCATACGATTGACAGGGAGATGCATTGGCAAAGAAGTCAATCTCATAGCTTGAAATTCATGGGTTTCATGTTAGTTAGGTAATTATTGATAGGGACGGGAAACAAAATATACAGACATTTTATTTCCATCAATATTTAGTGTAGGGATCCCCTGTTTCAATGACGCTATTTAGCCTCCGAGGCATGGACGCCACCAGCTCTTCAGCCGAAGTCCGGAAGGTGGAAGCACTCCAGTCCAACAATGTAGGTAATATGTGTTGGCAACTGTGTTATCAATAATGTTGCGAAAATTACACGAGGAATATAACATATTACGTCATGGGAACAACTAAAGGTGTATCCTCACACAAACAAAACAATGTTGAGAACATTGTCAGTAACAGAAATATGACTGGTATGGATTATGTGAACATTTCATCTTTCTTTCTAACAATGTTGACATCTTTTATCCAACTTGTTGATGACAATGCTACCAACATTGTTATGTTGCTATATTCCGCTATAGCAACTCATCCCAAGGTGGAATAATTTCTAACGTGAGTAAAACAACATAATAAATTCTATTGTCTTTGTTTTTATCGAAAATTTAGTATATGTCATCGTATTTGTTCTATCTAAAAATAGTACTATACTGAAGACACCATAAAAATTAAGAAACGCATCTCCACAATCATATACTGTATACCAGCACTACCGAGACAACACTAGTCAGGTGTTTATTTCGAACCCGTCAGACACAGAGGTGGAGATAATTTATGGTTCACTGAATGCTGCCCTCCCTCCCTCTCCGACCTTCAGTACCGCCCCAACCACTTGAGTTCCCAAAGAGGGTCGTTCTCTCTCTTTCTTGCTCTCATGCTTGTTGATCAGGCGATATCTTAGCCACTTTTTGAGTTAGGAAGATGAACTTTGAATAAAATAGTGATTAAGATGCCGTAGTATACAGTGGCTGAACCACTTTTTGTTTATGAATACTATTCTGCCAGACTTTCAAAATAATGAATCTCACACACACTCACTAGTTGTAAACATCACCTTCTCGCTCTACATCACAGCTTTGCCCCCTAACAGTCTAAGCCAGGGGTCACCAAACTACGGCCCGCGGGCCGGATCCCAAGTCCTTCCCCGGCTCGTGGTAGCTCCGCCTACGCTCTGACGTTACCAGAGCTTTCGTTCTGGCTTGCAAGTATTGAACAGAATGATTATGCGGCCCGCGCTCGTCATTCTTTCAGTTATCCGGCCCACTGTGAAAAAAGTTTGGTGACCCCTGGTCTAAGCTAATGTTCGGTGGTACACAGTTTCAGGTGTGTTCATTGTTCTTCATTATAAACAAGAAAGGAACATTCGGCTAAAGTGTCATAAGGAAAATTATTAATGTGTGTGTGTGTGTGTGTGTGTGTGTGTGTGTGTGTGTGTGTGTGCGTGTCAGTCTGTAAGTACATGTTTCTTTAAGTTTATTTAAGTTCACAACTAATTATATAGCTGTTCTCTAGTGCAGCTGTGAACACTGTAAAAATAACCTCTCTGCTGGGTTATTTATATCTTCATAATATCTACCTTATACTGTATATGATTTTTTTAAGTATTCAAGTCATGAAAAACTTTACAGTTGGCAAACAATTGTGGCAGAAAAGTGTTCATTTAATAAATAAAATCACACAGTTGTTATGTACAAGAATATAATAATTTGTTTCCCAAAGATGTGGGTAATCACAAAGACGAATCTTCACACAGCTCTAGGTTATCTTGCTTGTGTACAACAAACTTAATAACATTATCTCTTCACCAAACGCTAATACTGTACTTGTAAAAACAAAACAAACACCAACGACATCATATATACAACAATAACTGTACAAAGATATTTAATATTACTCGTCACTTGTCATATCTTAAATAATAAACTCATTTTTTGCTGGGAGAGATTCGGGCGGTGATCCAGTCGACTGTGTCCTGAAGTGCTTCATGTCGTACCTCAGGCAGCTCCAGGTACAGGTGGTGATAGGCCAGAGGAAACATCTGCGTGAGGTAACAAGATAACTTTCAACACTTGTTTAAAAAAAAAAACATGAATTACATTTAAGATGAGCACCAGCAATTCATTTGTTATTTTAGTTATGTTTTCCTAATCTGTTGTTGTAACTCATATCCTCCTCACCTGGGGGCTCCTCGCCTCATCACACAACAGTTGTGATCAAGAGACACATGTTCCGGAGTCGGTGATACATACCACTAAGGAGTAAACTTCTTATGTAATGTTTTATGTACATATCTGAGGTTTGTAGTGATAAACGGATGACGTATTTAAACACAGTGAATAACATTGAGGAAAATAAGATGTAAATTAAATTATTATATATTATGCATTATAACAAAGATTCATGAGCTTCAGGTTACCTTAGTCTTAACTCAGTCTTAATTAAGTAACTTAGTATGAACTCAGTGTTAGTAAATTCTACGAAATAAAAGTGTATCACTCTCATTAATGTCGTGATGACTGACCTATGTCGTCCTACTGCAGGTAGTGGTCAGCCTCACTGTTACACTAACAAACTGAATTCGAAAGCACACGTCAGTGCAATTATCAAATCTTCCAGCTTTCGTCTCCACTTCCGCCGACGTTTCAAAACCCTGGGAGTTCCCGCGCCGGAGCTCATCTACTATATGCTTCCCCTGCCAGGTCTTCCTCCCTAAATGTCACACAACGGAAGCACCAAAAAAAAAGTGCAGAAGGCGTCGTGCAAGATAATTCTCTCCTCTTCCTACTTCACATATCAAGAAGCGCTCAACACACTGACCCTATCGGCTCTCTCTGACCATCACCACGACCTCATCTGCAAGTTTTGGGAGAAACTTCTGCACCATCCTCGTCACTGTCTCCTGACGTCTGCGAATTACTGTTCAACACTACAACTGCATCCAGCCCACAGGAGCACGTACTGCCACCTTTGCTTTTGTTACTCTTGTATTGTTACTATACAGAAATTCCTTGTTGACTCATTCCTCACCCCACCTTATTATTATTTATCATATTTGTATCGCTAATGTTACTTGTATATTATTTGTCAGTCATGAGGACCCATTCCCAAATATGTAACTATACAGTATTTTCAGCCCTTTGGCTGCCATGTTCTTCCAATAAACTGTTAATTATTAATATTATTATTATTATTACTATTGTTATTATTATGGCCAGGACAGGTAGTGGCCACCCTCACAGTCCGAGGCACACCTGTGCCTGGATTTTAGTACAGCACAGCTGCACAGACGCTCAAAGGCAGCTGAGTCAGGCAGGGGAAGTGTTGGTGTATTTATCACACACACACACACACACACACACACACACACACACACACACGCTCCTGCACGCACGCACGCACTACTACTACTACTACTTTGCTGTCACTCGGAATCGAGTATGACGATCATCCAGCTATGACACAATGATTTAAGTTATTAAGGATGTCACCTAGGTTGGTGAGTTCTGAGGTGACTAAAGAGGCCGATACGGGACCGGCAGGGTCATCACAGATGTTGCACATGTGGAGGGCTACATCTTGTGTGGGGAGGGGGGCAGCGGCAGTGTTTATCCGGCGTTGGCGTTTGTCTGCCTCGTTATACAGTCGGGCTAACTTGAAAGTATTGACACCTTCTCGCGTGGTCCTCCTCCAAGCGTTGCGGTGTGGAGTAATCGTCTCCCAGGTGAGGGAGTCGATTTGGTACTTTTTCAGGTTTGTCTTAAGACTATCTTTATACCTTTTCAGTTGCCCGCCGGCTTTACGTTTGCTATTCGTTAGGTGACTGTAAAGTAGCTGTTTTGGCAGTCTACTGTCTTCCAGGCGGGTAACAGTTCATGGATAATGGTAGCCTCAATGCTTCTACAGTTCGTGTCAGCAAGAATACTGGCATCTATTCTTTTGTCTTCTCAGCGAACTCGGAGGATGGAACGTAAACTATGTTGGTGAAAATTTTCAAGTGCCATGAGGTGCCTCCTGTATGTGACCCACGTCAGACTGCCATATAGCAGGGTGGGGAGGACCTCTGCTCGATATACGTGTAACTTTGTAGATAACTTAAGCTCCCTACAGCTGAAGACACGGTTTCGGAGTCTGCCAAAGGCTTGAGATACACATCTGATCCGATGCTAAATCTCTCCATCGATGTCCGCGGTGGTGGACAGGTGGGAGCCGAGATACCGGAAGTGGGTAACATTAGAGAGGGTAGTACTGCTAAGATGGATGGATGGTGGAGGTGTGGTTGAACCAGGGGCAGGCTGAAAGCGAATCTGAGTCTTACATACATTCACTTTAAGGCCGAAGTGTGCATACGCATCTGGCACGAGAAAGGAAGGCAGCCAAGAAAATGGCAAAGAGAGTTGGGTCCAGTACACACCCTTGTTTAACCCCTGTTTGGATGGGAAAGAACTCAGACTAGGTGCCATTGTGCAGGACACTGCCGTTCATGCCCTTGTGGAGTTGCCTCACAATGGCGATGAATTTTGGAGGGGAGCCAAAACGGCTGAAGGTCCGCCAGAGGGCTTCCCTGTTGACCGAGTCAAAGGCCTTGGTTAGGTCGATGAAAGTCATGTACAGGTCACGATGCTGTTCTCTGTTGGGCAGCAAAGATCATGTCAGTGGTGCCACGTGATGGTCTAAAGCCACATTGAGATTCTGGGAGGAAGTTTTCCGCCTCAGGAAAAAGTCTGTTTAGAAGGACTTGGGCGATAATCTTGCCAGCTATGGACAGCAGCGAGATCTCGCGGTAGTTGCCACAGTCTGACCAGTCCCCCTTTTGTTCTTATAAATATTGACGATGGAGGCATCTTTAAGACCTTGGGGAATTTCCTCCTTTTCCCATATATTTTCCAGGAGAGAGTGGAGACGGCTGGTAAGCAGAGGTCCTCCTGCTTTATATACCTCGGCTGGGATTCCATCATGCCCTTACGCTTTGTTATTTTTCATATGTTTGATGGCAGTGGCTACCTCATCCAGGGATGGAGGATAGCTGAGGTGGGTCAGCTCTGGATGCTGAGGGACCTGCTGGGTAGTCAGGACATCCACATCGGTGTTTCGGTTGAGCAGTGAATCGTAGTGCTCCTTCCAGCACTGAAGGAGGCCTTCATCGTCTTTAATTAGGGAGTTACCGTCAGATGAGTGGAAGGGGGCTGCGCCTCGAGTGATTGGCCCATAAAATATTTTAGTGGAATTGAAAAATTCGCGCATATTTTGCCGATTGGCAATTTTTTGTTTAACATGTTTTATTTTTAAACCAGTCGTTCTTTAGACTGCGAAGTTCCCACTAGGCCGCCGCTTTCTTCTTGCGGAAGGTATCAGCTTTGGTCCGAGACTGAGGGTTGTTCGGTCAGTCAGTTACAACAGCACGCTACAACAGGTGATGATGCAACACACTACAACAGGGTGATGAAGCAACACTACGCTACAACAGGTGATGATGCAACACACTACAACAGGGTGATGAAGCAACACTACGCTACAACAGGGTGATGAAGCAACACTACACTACAACAGGTGATGAAGCAACTACGCTACAACAGGTGATGATGCAACACTACGCTACAACAGGGTGATGAAGCAACTACGCTACAACAGGTGATGAAGCAACACTACGCTACAACAGGGGTGATAAAACAGCTACGCTACAACCGGGTGATGAAGCAACTACGCTACAACAGGTGATGATGCAACACTGCGGCTACAACAGGAGTGATGGAGCAGCACTACACTACAACAGGGTGATGAAGCAACCTCACGCTACAACAGGTGATGATGCAACACTACGCTACAACAGAATTTGATGAAACAACTACGCTACAACAGGTGATGAAGCAACTACGCGCTACAACAGGTGATGATGCCAACACTACGCTACAACAGGGTGATGAAGCAACTACGCTACAACAGAATGATGATGCAACACACTACAACAGAATGATGAAGCAACACTACAACAGAATGATGAAGCTTATACTACTACAACAGGGTGATGAAGCAGCACTACACTACAACAGGAGTGATGAAGCAGCACTACACTACAACAGGGTGAAACAACACTACACTACAACAGGGTGATGAAGCAACACTACGCACAACAAGGTGATGAAGCAACTTTACAACAGAACATTAAACAGCACTACGCTACAACAGGTGATGATGCAACACTACACTAGGGTGATGGAGCAACACTACTACAACAGGGTGATGAAGCAACACTACACTACAACAGAGATGAAGCAACACTACACCAACAGGGTGATGAAGCAACACTACACTACAACAGGGTGATGAAGCAACACTACACAACAGAATTGATGAAGCAACACTACACTACAACAAGATGATGAAGCAACACTACACTACAACAGGGTGATGGAGCAACACTACACTACAACAGGGTGATGGAGCAACACTACACTACAACAGGTGATGAAGCCCAGCACTACAGCAGGAGGTGATGAAGCAACACTACAACAGGGTGATGAGCAACACTACACTACAACAGGAGTTGATGAAGCAACACTACAACAGGTGATGAAACAACACTACACTACAACAGGAGTGATAAGCAACACTACACTACAACAAGATGGTAAGCACTACACACAACAGGGGTGATGACAACATACTACACTAAGGTGATGGAGCAGCACTACACTACAACAGGGGTGATGAAGCAACACCACACTACAACAGGGTGATGATAGCACTACACTACAACAGGGTGATGGAGCAGCACTACTGCGCTACAACAGGGGTGATGAAGCAGCACTACACTGAGGTGATGAAACGGCACGCTACACTACAACAGGGTGATGAAGCAACTACTACACTACAACAGGGTGATGAAGCAACACTACGCTACAACAGGGTGAAGCACTACACTACAACAAGGGTGAAAGCAACACTACACTACAACAGGGTGATGAAGCAACACTACACTACAACAATTGATGAAGCAACACTACACTACAACAAGAATTGATGGAGCAGCACTACACTACAACAATTGATGGAAACAGCACTACACTAGGAGTGATAAGAAGTAGCACTACACTACAACAGGAGTGATGAAGCAACACCTACACACACAACAGGGTGATGAAGCAGCAACACTACAACAGGAGTGATGAAGCAACACTACACTGAGGGTGATGAAGCAACACTACACTACAACAGGGTGATGAAGCAACACTACACACTACAACAGAATTGATGAAGCAACACTACACTAGGGTGATGAAGCAACACTATACTACAACAGGGTGATGAAGCAACACTACACTACAACAGGGTGATGAAGCAACACTACAACAGGGTGATGAAGCAACACTACACTGCAACAGGGTGATGAAGCAACACTACACTACAACAGGGTGAAGCAACACTACACTACAACAGGGTGATGAAGCAACACTACACTACAACAGGGTGATGAAGCAACACTACGCTACAACAGGGTGATGGAGCAGCACTACGCTACAACAGGGTGATGGAGCAGCACTACGCTACAACATGGTGATGGAGCAGCACTACGCTACAACAGGGTGATGAAGCAGCACTACCCTAGGGTCCACTGAGTGTATTATCAACTAATGGTTGAATGAAGTACAAGCTTACTCACCTTTAAAGTCTTGTCAGAACTCTTGGCTTGGTCAAGAAGCATCTGGGATCCCTCAGGTGCACACAGCTGGTCCTTCTCCCCGTGAAGGATGAGGAAGGGCCACTCCACCTCAGGTATGTGATTCTCAAAGTACAGTAGAGTCTCTATGCCCGCCATGGCCCAGCGTGCCCGTATACCGCCCTGATATCTGGTCAACAAAACAATTGTTACTGATTACATATTCGGCCACGTGGTTTTGTATGAAAGTTCACCTCCCTCTCTGTTTAAGATAAGGTATTTCACCCCTGTAGGAAGCTGAAAGTGTCCTGTGCCCACACACAAGTAAAGTTCACCAGTCCTGCCCTGCTGTTCTAGGTATATTCCTCACCGTAAGAACACGTTAATAATATTGTTTATAAAGGTAGACCCGGCCGCGGGACTCACCTGAGTGGGTCCTTCCTCATTCGAGATTTCATGTCCTCATCCCGGGTGACGTGATCCAGCTTCAGCTTAGCGACCTGAAATGTGTCCATCATCGTACTAACTGTATACACACACACACACACATTCAATACATAATTGTGTAGAATATGGTGTATTCTTTATTATTGTCTGAAAGAAGTTTTGTAATTAACTGACCGCCAGGTAAGGGAGGATGCGAGCGACCAGCCTGGCCAGGAAGATCTTGGGCGGTGTGGCCTCGGCCGAGTTGGCCTTGATGAGAGGACCCATGAGCACCACCCCGTCGAAGTAGTGCGGCCGAGCGAGTCCACACTTGATGGTGATCATCCCGCCCTGTAACAATAATCCCTGTACACACCTGATTCACTCTACCTGTGATCCTGTGTAAACATACAACTATTTTCTACAATTGTATCATGATTGTTTGTAAACTAATATTACTTTTTAAACCTGTACTCAGAGTAAACAAGAGTGTAATATCAGGTGCACAGAATATTATAATTACATCCTTGCAATACCACTTATAATAGAAACATTTAACATAATAACTACACAAGGTAACTCAGGTAACATTGTTATTTTCAATAATTGCAAACTATTTATTGTAACATTATTGATATACCTATCCCTGACCCTTGTGTGGCCATGACCCTTGTGTGGCCCTGACCCTTGTGTGGCCATGACCCTTGTGTGGCCCTGACCCTTGTGTGGCCCTGGACCTCGTGTGGCCTTTAATACTTTGACTCCGAACAGCCTCTAAGCCTAGGCGCACATTGAGAGGCAGTGCAGTGCAGAGCAGAGCAGGGCAGACACAGCACAGGGCAGCATAGGTGTGGTGCGCACATTGAAAAGCAGTTCGTTAACTCTCCCAGCCAGCTATTGCTGCACTGCTTGCTTCAAATGTATGAACTTGAGTCTGTTACTTCGAACCTTTAGATTCATTCGTATCGGTTTCATGTTCTGGTTGGTACTGAGACAGTTTCAAACATCTGAAGCAGGCAGTGCAGCAATAGCTGGCTGAGAGGTTAACGAACTTTTGGGCGAGACTGTACCCTCGCTGCTGTGCTGCTCATGGCTAGCTTGCAACATTATTTAGATATGAATTCAGAATCCGACTCGGATACCGAAATGGAACATTTAATGCTACTATATGACAGCAGCAAGGGAAAGAAGTCAGTATGGAGAAGTAAGTCCATGGAAAAAAAATAAATACACACGGGGAATTTGCCTATACGTTCCCATATCTCATCCTTCAGTTTCCCCTTCATGTAATCACAATGCCAAGTGTCATACAAGACTCTTTCACTCCGTACAGCTTCTACGAGTTCTTCGGAGACCGTCATTGTACTGACGAACACGTGCAGGCGTGGAGCAGAAATCTGTGTTTCAAACACTGCGCCGCGCAGCCCGACACAGGCCTGTGTCTGTTCTGTGCTGCCCTGCGTCCCAATGTGTTGACTTCGATTTAAAATAACCAGATACAGTTTCCTGCACTGCCCTGTGCTGTGTCGCCTGCGTCTCAATGTGCGCCTCGGGTAACTGTGTCGGCCAGGGAAGGACATCGGGTACATGAGCCAACAGAGCACTGTTAAAGGAGTTACTGTAATTACCTTTTATGGGAATTATATCAATTTTGTAACTAATTACCTTGTGTTATAATAATATCGATATTGTTACTGTAATTACCTTATGGAATAATTATATTAATAGTTATCCCACATTTACTTTTTGTAATAATTAGTCACACTAGGTCCAGGGCCACACAAGGGTCAGGGCCACACTAGGTCCAGGGATACACAATGGTCAGGGCCACACTAGGTCCAGGGCCACATAAGGGTCAGGGTCACACTAGGTCCAGGGCCACACTATGTCCAGGACCACATAAGGGTCAGGGCCACACAGGGGTCAGGGCCACATTGGGTCCAGGGCCACATAATGGTCTGGGCCACACTAAGCCAGGACCACATAAGAGTCAGGGTCACACTAGGTCCAAGATCACATGAGGGTCAGGTTCACATTAGGTCCAGGGCCACACTAGGTCCAGGGCCGCATAAGGGTTAGGGTCACATGAGGTCCAGGGCCACATAAGAGTCAGGGCCACACGAGGTCGAGGCCCACACTAGGTCCAGGGTTAGCCTATGTGTAGGATTAGCTTAGGTTAGGTTAGGTCAGGTCATGTCAAGCTAGGTTAAACTGATTAAGGTTAAGTTGGGGTTAGGTCATGTTTATTTGGGTTAGGTTAGGTTAAGTTTGGTTAGGTTAGGGTAGGTTGGGTTAGGGGAGGTTAGGACTTTTAGGTTCCCAATGTCAACGCGACGCCAGTGAATGTTGTGCTGCTCAACTAGTCCTGAGCGAGACGGGTGAAACTTCTTCACTTAAATGAGAATGATAGACGTTCAAGGTTAAGAGGTGGAGGAAGAGGAGCAAGATGAGGGTGGAGCAAGAGGAGCAAGATGAGGGTGGCGACATACCATGGAGTGGCCAACGATGAAGCAGGGCAGACCTGGGTAGCCAGACCGCACGTCATCATAGTTTTGTAGTACATCAGTGACGTAGTCGTCCACAGAGTCAACGTAGCCTCGCACACCCTCTGACCTCCCGTGACCAACTGCCGGGAGAATAAAGTATGTGTGAAAATCCTTAATACACTAAACGTGAAGGACTGTGAGGACATAATTCACACTAAACCTTCGGTATACAAGGAGGTGGCGAGGCAGGTACTGCACTCTAGTACCTTCACTTCCCAAACTGTACATAGTTCGTTAACCCTTTACAGCTGGTCAACTCGGAACAGAATAATAATGATGATCCACTCACCCAACGCCTCCTTATATTAAGCATAATATTACATGAATAGTTTACAGGAAGTATAAATTGGGGGAACACGCACACATTGTATATGGTCAAGTTCTCTCTCTCTCATGGTATCATTAAAGCCACTAATCACACGATATGCTGTTATACATAGTTCATAATTTACTATAGTAATGCTCATCATCATTATACATAACTGACTAATAATTCACAGGATAATTGATCGTAACAATAAACGGTAATCGATCATAATAATATATAACAATTGTGTTAATAATTAGTATACTAAGTGTTTATTTTATTATTAGTGAACACATGCACTAAATGATTTATACCCGAGACAGTTTAACTTACCCTTCCCAGTAATAATATACCGAGTCCCTCTTATCTTTAAGTAAACACATAAAATAAGTCGTTCATTACTCGATTTTTTTTAGCTTTAACTATATTGTACAACGGTACTGGTGCCACAGCAGGGACTGGTGGGGTGGGGGGTGGTCCTTGTTCCTGCGGCTGCCTCACTTGGTGCTCCGCCAAGGAAACGGAGACACGCCGTCTCTCTCTCTGTATCCTATTGACCAATCCCTCACCTGCCACTGTATCCCTCATCTCGTGCCTATAAACCGTCATTACTGAGAGGTAAACACTGTTAGACGAGGGACAGTTGAATGAGACAGGGTAACGGGAGAGGTGGACCATCGTGGTGACGGCTGAAGGAAGACTCAACTCACCTACGCTGGTTTATACGACATAGTTACACCTTAATATGTGAAGCATTACCATAGGGTGACTAACATCACGTCCCGATAGAAAGAACATCTCAAATAATCCAATATAATAACGTCTTGAGCAGACGACAAGACACGGCAAGAGAGAGATTGTTGACACTTCCTCCTGAGTATGATGTAACACATAAACCGTTACCACATCACCAGGCTGCCCAGGCCTACACTATGAAGAGTTGTCACATGTTGGAGAGGTGAATAACCACCACCCGCATCGCCACCTACAGTACATCACTACCTACGCCGCCACTTACACACACCACCACCTACACCACACGATTGTGATATTACATGGACCTTGATTACACCACGAGGATAGGGTGGCCTTGAAATAGGAATTAATACCGACCCAAACAAGTAAAAGTTAGGCATTCCAACCCAGATTCTGGCTAAGGCAGCTGTCTCCCCCCAGTCTGGACCGAGCACCAGTCCTCTTCCAGCCCAGGAAGCACTTCAAGTGAAGAAAAATTCCGAGGGAAGCACGTCTGCCAACCCGAGAAGCGCCTAGTCCCATGCTCTGCTGTTTTTCCCATGCGTGTAGTGAGTGTCTGTCATCTGGTATAGGTGCCCAAGGTCCTGGAGTGGAGAGACATGAGTTGGCTGTGCCTTTGTTCATATTCTATGCCTCGTGGTAACTTGTTGTTCAGAAATGTGTTCGTATCCCATTCCCTATATCCGTGTGGTAACGTATCATCACTTAACCTCCCCTGATGATGGTACTCTGCCACGCTACCAATTTTCCTAACTCAATCCCAGCCAAGACCACCTACACCACCACCTACATCATCACCACCTACGTCACCACCACCTTCACCACCACCTACACCACCACCTACTCACCACCACTTATACCACCTACACCACCACCACTTTCACCACCTATATCATCACCTACACCACCACCTACACCATCTCCTACTTCACCACCACTTTCACCACCTACACTACCACCTATATCACCACCACCTACTTCACCACCACTTTCACCACCTACACCACCACCCACTTCACCACCCACACCACCACACCTACTTCACCACCACTTATACCACCCACACCACCACCACTTTCACCCACCTTCACCACCACCTACACCACATCACCTACTCCACCACCACTCTCACCACCCACACCACCACCTACTCTGAATTCACCACTTTCACCATTAATCTACACCACCACCTACTCTCACCACACCACTTTCACCACCTATGTCACCTACACCACCTACACCATCACCTACTTCCACCACCTCACTTTCACCACCTACACCACCACCTATATCACCACCACTCACTTCACCACCACACACTTTCACTCACAACCCACACCACCACCCGCATCAGCAACCTACATCACCACACTTGCATCACCACCTGCATGACCACACCTTCACCACCACTCATCACCACTTGCATCACCACCTGCATGACCACCTACATCACCACCTGCATGACCACCTTCACCACCACCTACATCACCAGCTGCATCACCACCTGCATGACCACCTACATCACCACCTACATCACCACCTTCACCACCACCTACATCACCACCTACATCACCACCTACATCACCACCTACAACACCCCTGCATCTCCACCTACACCACCCCGTCATCACCACATACATCACCTGCATCATCACCTACGTCATCACTTACACCACCACCTACATCACCTCCTACACCACCACATCCAGTATACTGTAAGGGCTGTAACGAGCGGGATGGTTGTCCAGCCAGCGCCACAGCTGCACTTCCCCCATTGTTCGATTTCAATTCTGGTTGTGTGCTCATCTGGGGCTCCTGAGCTGATTCCCCATTCCTTCACTACTCGGCTGTTAATCTCCGGACACCTACTCCAGCTACTACCGAGGCTGCCACTTCCTCCACGTCCTATCCACCGTCCGTGCCTTGGTGTCTTTCCTGTGTGGCAGACATCGCCCACCAACGCCAAGTGAGGAGGCTGCCCTGGACCTTCCCCCTGAGAGCGGACCACAGGGTTAACGGAACATTCCACCGCGAAGGAAATATCTGTAAATTGTTTGACTCCCGTAATTGTTAATTTAATATTTGTGTGAGTGGTGTCAATTATTGTGATTTTTTTCGTAGTAAAGAGAAGTCAATCTCTAACGGTTGTTTGTTACCCCTTGGAAACCCATGGTTCTTGACTTTCCTTTTATAAGATCCTGATTAGGCTGGCAAGGGATTTATATCTCAAAGTCCAGGCCTTTACATACACCACCACCTGCATCACCACCTGCATCACCATTTGCATCACCACCTACACCACCAATTAAAAACACAATTATTAGTACCACTACACCATAGTGTATGGTGTGCCGGCACTGTACCATGCAGTGTGTGGTGTGCCGGCACTGTACCATGCAGTATGTGGCATACCGGTACTGTACCATGCAGTGTGTGGTGTGCCGGCACTGTACCATGCAGTGTGTGGTGTTCTGGCACTGTACCATGCAGTATGTGGTGTACCGGTACTGTACCATGCAGTATGTGGTGTACCGTTACTGTACCATGCAGTATGTGGTGTACCGGTACTGTACCATACAGTGTGTGGTGTACCGGTACTGTACCATAGTGTGTGGTGTACCGGCACTGTACCATGCAGTGTGTGGTGTGCCGGCGCTGTACCATGCAGTGTGTGGTGTGCAGGCATTGTACCATGCAGTGTGGTGGCCAGGCAGCCTCAATCTCGCCCCGAGCGTGGTACTCTGGCTGTGGGCCAGTTCTCTGCGACAAAACCAAGGCCGATGGTCCTGCGTGTGTGTGTGTACGTGTGTTCTAATATTAACATCAGTTTATCTTGTCTAAATATTGACTGCAATGTGCGTCATGTTTGTTACAGCACACCGGTGACTGTAATGTAAAATGAATTACGGTGAATTATATGGTTCAGGAGGGTCAGGGGAGGACAATAGGGCACACTAGGGTCAGGAGGAAGGCATCAAGACACACTAGGGTCAGGAGGAAGGCATCATGACACACTAGGGTCAGGAGGAAGGCATCATGACACACTAGGGTCAGGAGAAAGGGCATCACACACTAGGGTCAGGAGGAAGGCATCATGACACACTAGGGTCAGGGAAGGACAATAGGGCACACTAGGGTCAGGAGGAAGGCATCAAGAGGTCAGGAGGCATCAAGACACACTAGGGTCAGGAGGAACATCATGACACACTAGGGTCAGGAGGAAGGCATCATGACACACTAGGGTCAGGGAGGACAATAGGGCACACTAGGGTCAGGAGGAAGGCATCAAGACACACTAGGGTCAGGAGGAAGGCATCATGACACACTAGGGTCAGGAAGGACAATAGGGCACACTAGGGTCAGGAGGAAGGCATCAAGACACACTAGGGTCAGGAGGAAGGCATCATGACACACTAGGGTCAGGAGGAAGGCATAGACACACTAGGGTCAGGAGGAAGGCATCATGACACACTAGGGTCAGGGAAGGACAATAGGGCACACTAGGGTCAGGAGGAAGGCATCAAGACACACTAGGGTCAGGAGGAAGGCATCATGACACACTAGGGTCAGGAGGAAGGCATCATGACACACTAGGGTCAGGGGGAGGACAATAGGGCACACTAGGGTCAGGAGGAAGGCATCAAGACACACTAGGGTCAGGAGGAAGGCATCATGACACACTAGGGTCAGGGAAGGAGGACAAGGTAGGGACACACTAGGGTCAGGAGGAAGGCATCAAGACACACTAGGGTCAGGAGGAAGGCATCATGACACACACACAGGGGTCAGGAGGGAAGGCATCATGACACACTAGGGTGACAATACACACTAGGGTCAGGAGGAAGGCATCATGACACACTAGGGTCAGGGAGGACAATAGGGCACACTAGGGTCAGGAGGAAGGCATCAAGACACAATAGGGTCAGGAGGAAGGCATCATGACACACTAGGGTCAGGAGGAAGGCATCATGACACACTAGGGTCAGGGAAGGACAATAGGGCACACTAGGGTCAGGA